GTTTAAGAAGAAAGCCTATCTGAAAGAACTTCACACACTGTTACCCATATTTTCATGCAAAATTCAAGCATGTCAGTGATGGTGTAATATGAGGTTATGCAACATTGATCGCTGGTACTCAATGACACTTAACTGTGAGTGTGCAATGGAAGACGTCTCCTCTGATTCATCATGTTTACAAAATGAAGCTAATTTTAGCATAGTCTTTAGGGCTTCACAAATCCTTTTTTAAAAAAACCTTCTCCAAACTTGGTTTTGTGCTCCACTTAGTTGCTGCTATTTCATTTTTACTGGATCTAAAATTATGTCATTTTATATTTGATTCTACAATAGCACCTAAACTTTGAGAATAACTTTTATCCAACAAGTATAATTTATAGAAAATTCACATTCTAATTTGGACATTAGTACAAAAGTTATATTTGAAAATTATTCAGTGAAAATTTTATTTGGAGTGTGTAATTCTCTTCTGGTCTGAGAAGTTTAAAAGAAATACTACTTACAAGGCTGTCCAAAGTTGTTTCATTTGCTTGCTTACGATGTTTGTGGGTGTGCCCTTCACAGAGCTCTACAAGAGTTGTGTCTTTAAATAATACTTCAAAACTTGCACACTCACTTTCTGTCCTTTAATGCTATGCCTTCACAGGTCATTGGACTACTGCTGATATCCAGTGAGGATGACAACGATCACAAAGAATATAAAACTAATGCAAATCTATGTTGAGTCTGAAGACGGGTTTTGGTTTGCTTTGTGTAAGATCAGATATGTCACGAGCCATGTGATTATAGTACCACTGGTGGTTTCTTATGCAGTCAATGAGAACTGAATGTGAGGTGGTTGTTTTTGTTGAGTGCTGTAGAGTTGGTTCTGACCCATTGCGACCCTTTATAGGATTTCTTAGGAGCAGCTGGTGAGCATGAACTGCAGACCTTTGCAGTTCAGTCTCTACAGTCCAGCACATGAACCCGCAACGCTACAGGTTATATATACCAGATTAATCAGAAAAGAACAGGAAAATGTAATCATTATTGTATACAAAAAATTTTAAATGGTATCAATTTCATTTAGTGCTCTGCCAGTTCCCTTCCTCTGTAATGCTCACGTTTTTTTCCTGTTTGCTTCGCATCTATGGGTCTTGGTTTTGGACAACTAGAATCTGTTTTGTTGACTTCCAAAGCAAGTGCTTACCTAGTTTATTGGGTAATCTGTCCTGGAGTCGACCATTCTCAGCAATCAGACCCCATGATTCATAGGTGAAGATGGCAGAATCACCAAATAGGAGGCTGGATTCCTGAGCACCAGTAAATGAAAGGGAAGCCCTACTGTAATTGGAAATAAACCTTTCTTGGATGAATATTTTAGGGTTTACCTTATTGCAGCCCTTACCCTAACTAATCAATTCCATAGCACCTAGCAACAACTACCATGACTAATATATTAGTAAATGCAGTCTCTTTTACATAAAACAAAGTAGGAGTATAGATTAGGAATTAACTCAATAAAAATGTTAATTAAATATTTGATGGAGGACCTGAGGGAACAGGAATGTTTTGCTACAAGCAAAGACATTATGCCACTTTTTCTCCTTTATGAAAAGACACAAAGTTTCTCAACATACATGGCTAGAGTCAGGTATCTCTTGAACACTTTGTATTACAAAATTACTAAAACTTTGATTCTTCTTGACTGAGCCATCTTTGCTTTGCCTACCAGGAAGCACTGAGCTAAGTATGTGGTTTGTGCATGGTTTAATTTTTTAATTCCCATCATCATTTGGCTGCTCAATCATCATTTTTCCTTTGGGTCTTGGTTAACTTTTAGGCTTTATCTAACTGTGTATATCCTTATGTAAACCGATTGCCACTGAGTTGATTCTGACTCATAGCTACTCTATAGAACAGAGAACTGCCCCTTCGGGTTTCCAACACTGTAAATCCTGATGAGTGCACCCAGCCTCATAGTTCTCCGGTGAAGCGATTGGTGGGTTTGAACTGCCAACCTTAATGTAGCAGCCCAATCCTTAGCCCACTATGCCACCAAGGCTTCTTATACGTTCATTTAAGTCTCTTAAAACCTTTCCTTTAATGAAGGGAACAAGGAAAAGTAAGAACCAAGTTTTAAAAGTGAACTTTATACATTCTTCCTCTAACACTGGAAAGGCAGACAGTATAAATGTGTGTGTAACAATCAAAGCTGCTGATCTTAAGTTACTCTTCTGGGTCTCATGACAATTAATTTTTTCTTTGATTTATAACCTGGTAGCTTAAAGAATACGTTTATGATGGTAATTATTGGGGCAGTAAGAATTTGTGGTTCAGGTTTTTATGAGCCAAGTATGGCAACATTGTAAAGTAGATCTTCTCCAGTGGTTTACAACTTGTATAGTTAGTTGAAAATTACTGTGTTCATAGATTTATGGTCACCAGATGAAGTTGAATCACTGGCACTTCCTTTTCCTGAAGCTTTATACACCACTTTGAGTCACATTCCTGATGGAAAACATTCCTTCTATAAAAGTCTATCAGTTATTGATTAATAGCTGATGTAGAAATGTTAACATTTTCAAATTCCAGCTCTCACCGTACCTTAAATTTACGCTCACTTTCCATAGTTTGAAATATCTCTGGTGTATATTGCACTGAAGGAATCCTTGAAAGGTGCAAACTGTTAACAAGTTCCACTGCTAACCAAAAGTCTGGAGAATGGAGTTGACCTAAGAGGTGCCTCCAAAGAAAGTCCTGGTAATTGACATTCAAAAACTCAGCTGTTGAAAACCTTACAAAGCAGAGTTTTACGCTGACATGAATGGCAACTGGTATGTATGGAGAGGCCATGCTAAATTATTTCTTCATGTCACATCTATAATCGTTCTTGATTAAATAATTTACAATAGATGCACATAGACACGTGTGAAAAAAATTCTTTATTAATTTCTCACATTTCATTACAAAATGTATGTTGCAAACAACTTGAATAACCTACTTGTGTTTATTAAATTTTTTTTTTTAACCCTTGGCTTCAAGGACTCAGGGTGTCCCTATCTTTTATCAAGTATCAGGAAACACTGATAACTGGAGTCAATAGGTTATCATTTTGCTATTTATTTTCTTCTCTCAAGCTCTGAAAAAAATGTCCTCTGTATAAATTAAACAAAAAATGTTGTAAATTCTATGTCATTACAGTCAACAGAATTATAGTAATGCATCCAAATTGTGTGGCCACAAAATATCAGGTATGTTTTGAAAAAGAAAAAAAAAATGACATTCTAGCCTTGTTAAAAGGATAATGGTCCCATATTTTTATTAACAGGTTAGCAAAACAAAATCCAATGGATTACAATATTTACATGTTATTTGAAAAATAAAGTAGTGATAAAAGCATGTCACAATTATTTTCTTTTTTTTTCTTTCCTTTTTTTTTTTCAGTTTTTTTTTTTTCTTTCTTTTTTCTTTTTGGTAACCATTACAAACACCCAATCCAGGTATGGAACTGTTTAATACATTTGAAATGAGGCCAATTAAAAACAAATAAAGACACAAAATGAATCTTTGTCTAGATAGTTCACACCTTCCCCACTTTCTGGTTTCCACATGATGGCCCCATCCCTAAAAAAAAAAATTAAATTAAAACAAACACTCTACAAATAAAAATTCTTAACAGCAAGAAAATAAAAGGAAAACATGCTTTTCAAGTAAGCACTTCTTCCACAAATGCAACGTCTTTCCATGGATTTTATTTGAAGCTGTGTGGGACACTGTCATTTCAGCAATTCCCTTTCCCTTTCGGCCCTCCCCCCTCCCCCAACCCTGCCAAGTTAAAAAACAAAACAAAACGAAATCCCAAACATGAAAACCAATGGACTCACACTCACAGGCACACATCCAGGCGCGCACACACACACACACACTTCTAAAACCTAGGCTTTAAGGAAAGCTCTCTTCTACTTTTTGGAACAAAACCCTTTGCTCACAAACAGAATGTATAGACTTAGATTTTGTCTAAGCTGCTCTCCTCCTGAAAAAGCTAATATGGGGAAATAGAGCAGCTGGCAGCTAGATTTAAAAAAAAAAAAAAGAAAGAAAGAAAGAAAAAAGTAGTTCTCCAGGCTCCTTGTAGGATATATATTTCTCATCCACTCTCACCAAAGGGATGGGATTCTAGCACATTCCCTTTCTCCCTAATAAATGAGCAAACCCCCAAACACAATGCAAACAAAAACAGAACACATTTTAAATTCACACACAAAAGCCAGCTCATCCTAACAGAAATTATTTGTGTGAGACGGATAATGTGTTAATTTGACAAGCAACAAAAGGTGAAGAGGACCTCCTCATCTGGCCCACAAGCTGCATAGCTGTGCCGAAAGTTTGGTTCTTTAGTTAAATAAAAAAAAAAAAGAAAAAGAAAAAGAAAAAAGTTAACGTCTTTGTTATTTTCATGTTTAAAATAAAAACATTCCTATTCACAGAAAATGTAATCTCCCTTGCCCCAAAATTAAACAATAACAACACACACACACACACACACACAAACAATTTATATGATAAAACTGAATTGTGCTGTGTTTGTAACACTCAAACCAATAGAAAATAAACATGTGGCAAACAAAACTGCACAATCACCTTAAAATTAGCTCACATGAATCTACCAAATACTAAATTATAGTTAAACACTAATAAACAGCTTACCTGGAATAAAGGATGACAATTCACAAACAGTTATCTAATAATTAAAGTCTGTTTCTTTTTTTTTGTTTTGTTTTTTACTAAAATAATTTAAAAAATCACAGTATTTTAAGAAATAAAACCCACGTGGGGATTTTAAGCACAATTTGTGTTCCTTTCTTTAAAACTTTTTTTTTTCCCTCCATTCACCATCTTGCTCAGCAGTTCTCTCTACATTTAACCATAACGACGACAGGTAGTACTGACAAATGCAGAGAATTCCCTTGGTTAATTTTGAGGTACTAGGAAACAGGTGACTGTTTTATGCAAAGCAGTTTTTTTGTTTTCTGTTTTTTTGTTTGTTTTCCCCAAAGCGGCTGCAAGTTAGGTCTTGAAAAAGCTTAAGGTATTAAAACTAGAAAAACGCACCGAAAGTTGTGCGTCAAAAAGTTGTTCCCCTATGCGAAGTCTTCTACGGTCACGGAGCCTCTGTCCTCCACATTCTGTCCAAGACCACCACCGAGTACACCGTGTGCACAGGAGGTGTTTCCGTACTCCTCAACAAAAGGAACTTCCACGACGAAGATCCGGAAGAAAAGATGCAGTGATGGAAAAGGAGCCACATATGCCAACCATTTAAATAACTTTAATTTACATACTCATTCACAAAGGTACCAGTGCTTTGAAAATAGATTGTTCAGTCCTAAAAAGCAGCTTTGTTTCTGTCTTCTCTTTTCTGTCCCTCCCTTCTCAAGCCCAAGCTGGCCCCACCCACCTTTTCATCACGGTTCAAGTAAGGTTTGATTAAGAATTTCACCAAACGCTTATTCTTTTTTGGCCTCTGCATTCTCCAGGAGAGATTTGTCGGCAGCTACCACACAGATGGCTACTGTTTCGTTCTTTAGAGAAAAGTCTATCCCCATTGCCGCGTCCCCTGCCTTTTCCTCCATGGAGGCCATCTGGACACTGTCCTCCAAGCTCTCTTTTACATGGATTTCTTCTCTGGTCACCTGCTTGGTATCATTCAAAGCCCTAGAAAAGAACATTTATAGAAGGGACAAGATGAATACATATTTTATTCTAACGAAACAAAAAAGACTCGTGTTCTTATCCCCCCGATCTTAAAAAGATCTGGGCGTTTCTTTTGAACAAATTCCTGAACATACAACTTCAAGTCCCTGGGTGGTATACAAGATTAATTTGCTCGATAGTTAGCTGAAAAGTTGGAGATTCGAGTTCACCCAGAAGTTTCCTGGCAGAAAGGACTGGAAATGTACTTCAGCAAAATCATCCAGGTGTTGAAAAGCTTCTTGAATACCGTCTGTTCTGCCACATATGGGGTCCTCTGTGTTGGGTTGGCACCCCAAGTAACTGGTTATCCGTGCTTCCTGTTAGGCTTACATTATGTATTTCTGGCAACATTGTAAAGAATTGAACCTACAAAAAGCACCACTATAATATGTTTTGATTATGCCATGAATAATTTCCAGATTAATATTTTTATATCAACTCCTCTACTGGTCATAAAGGTAATTAGCAAGAATTGTCTTAGGTTCAAATTCAGCAGTTGAACCCAGAAGTTTGAAGATTCATACTATTTATTACAATTAAAAGAGCAACTCAGATACTAAACACTTAATGGACAGGCCCAGAAACAAATCATGGAAACAAACAACAAAAATCTTAGGATGCTGCCCACATCTTAGGACATTTAGTTATATTCTCTGTGGTCTAGATGCTTGAGGCTCCAAAGGCATTCTCTTCTGAAAGGGCCAAAATCCTAGGTCCTCTCTGTGCCTTGTGTGAGAGATATGAGGCTATGTTCCAGGATTCTGTAAGTATTTTACAGGTGTGTTCCCACCTACCTGGAAGGCAGGCAGAAGCTGGCTCTGTTCCCGAGGCAAGGCATTAAAGACACCAAGAGATGCCTGGGATTGTTCAAGGTCCCCTAGGGAACAAGTCAGTCAGAGGCAGGAACGGAAGCCAAGTCCTCTGACCCCCAGTCCAGTGCTCTATCTGAGAATACCATGCTAATGAAAGTTGAAGCGAAGCTGTCTTGAGATTTTGCTGCTGTACTACATGTAGGCTCAAGGGAGATGTGTCATTCATAAAAATGGTTTTTGACTTGTAGCTTGTGACGATGTCAAAAACCACCAGAAAAAGAGACACCTGTTCTTCACAACTGTCCCTCCTCCCACAGCCCAAATCTGTGGTAGCGAAAGAACTATGTACTTTCAGGAGAACAAAGAAAGAACCTGACCCCCCTCCCACTGTCCATTCTGAGCAAAGGCATTTTTGGGGTGGTCCCACTTACATTCCGTGCCTCAGCACATGCCTTTCCCATTCGGAGCCCTGTGAAAATGCCCGTCCACAAAATTCACATGGAAAACGCTTCTCAGTGTTCACAGCAGTCCCACAATCGGAAAATCTCATCAGATCTGTGAGGAAGCAGAAGTGTTGTTAGTGGTATGCCGTGTGAGCAGGTAGTATCAATGAGCCAACCCTCATCAGTAAGCCCTTTCCTACCTCCATGTGCAAAAGTCAGGTGGTGATAAGCGAGCCCCAGATTCCTTAGCTTTTTTCCTACCAGACTTGTCCCCTAAGGGAATTTTTGAGTACTTGTAGCCATTTCGGGCTTCTATCCCATTTCTCCTCACTTCCTTCACTACTTCAATGACAAATAATCTGTGTTAGGATTTCCCAAAGAACCGTCTTTCTTTCCCTTTGAAAGGTGCTTGTGCCTTTTTTTTACACTTTTCCACCTTCAGAGCCTCTCTGTTCAGCACACATTTGGTATCTATTGGATATTGTAAGTCCCACTAATATTACTGGTTTTATCTTTATTCACTACCAAAAAAAAAAAAAAAAATCCAGACTGCCGAATGGAGTGGACCAGGTTATACACCAAAGACCTCAGAGTTTTGACTGCTTTTGAGTAAGGTTGAAGGTTCAGACTTGTGGTCATCTGAGATGGGTATCATAATCAACACCTTTCAGGGTTGCTACGAACACAGATAGAGCTCTACGAGCAAGAATGTGAATCCAGGGCAAGTGATTGTTGTTGTTAAGTGCCGTCGAGCCGTCGAGTCGGTTCCAACCCACAGCGACCCTGTATAGGGTTTCCGAGGAGTGACATGTGAGCTTAAACCGCTGACCTTGCAGTTCAAACGGCTTTTCAGTCTGGAGCATTAACCCACAGCACCACACCAGGACTCCAAATGGAAGCTGGTAGAATTCTGACCTTCCAGACTAAGAGGGACTAGGAAGAAGGTCTGGTGATCTACTCCCAAAAGTAAGTCAGTGAACACCCAGGTGATCACAACAGTCTATACAAATGTTCCTGGGAATGAAACAGGTCTGCGAGGCATTTCTTTGCTGTGCAATATTGTCATGCGTAGGGAGCTAACAACAACAATGTGTCCTCAGCATGTCCTCAGCCAGTGAGGGATCCTGGCCAGCTGCCCGACATGGTAGTACTTCATAATTGGTGGTAATCACGAATGTGGGGATACATGCATGTTTCTGGACAGGTCTGTTGTAATCGTCAAATCTTGACTGTATTTGTTTGTTTCCTCCAAGGTGCCGGGCACATGTCTGGGGTTTGATAAATGTGGATTGGCTGGTTCATTGTTTCAAGTGCACTCCTCCTGGCAGATGCAAAGACTAGAGCATATATTTTTTTTGTGTTGTCCTGAGTCCCAAATTCACAGGCCTTTCATTAAAACCACAGAGGCCAAATCTTTGTGTGTGTAATCAACAGCAGGACCTGTATGGCTGTGCAAAGAGAGGCCAGTGGCAATGCCATGTGGACGGTCTCTAAGTATCTGACTGCTCTGTGCCTGCTTATACAAGATGTCACAGAATGATATCTCCTGTTTGAACCCCCGCCCCCAATAAAACCCTCCCAATGACGTTAACAGGATAGGTGTTTCTGTGCTGCCTTAATCTTCAGCACAAAAAGCTCTGTGAATGGGGCCAGTTTTAACAAAAGATGAAACATTTTCTCACAAATTAAGAAGATCACCCCACAAGCCATTAAAAATAATTGCACAGACTATCTTCCTTGATTCTTTTCATTGGAAATGAGACAGCACCATCTGCTCTGCGCATTAATTCCTTAGCAGGGATTATCTCGGGCAAGAAATCAACAGAATGCCTTCCCCGACTCCTCCCCAATTGCATAATGAGAGGGGGTGGGGCGGACAGGGCTTGGCTTTAGTTGGATTTCTTCATGCCTGGTTTCTTCTCTTTAAAATCTCCCCTGAGCTTCCTAGGACCTGTAGTTTGTCCCCAAGTCAGCCCTCTCTCCAGCTCCCTTGTTTAGAAAGGATGTTGGGAATTACACATTTCCAATTGTCATGCCTAAGAGAAGAGGGCTGCTGAATGCTTGCTCCTTTGCCCTTAGGAAATGTGAAACCAGTCATCTTGCCTTTCCAAAGGTTCACAAAGTTTCATCCTCAGAGGAGAAGGAGGAGGGCACTCATTACCTGTCACACATCAAATCACTCTCCATCAGCCCAAGAACCGCGCCAAATCACCGGGCGCTCTGCTCACAGAAGACATAACGTCTGGCAAAAAACACCCTGAGCTATTGTGTGCCATTTCTTCTTCTTGGCAAGAGTATACCTAGATGGTGGAAAATTGATTCTAGGTCTATTCAAAGGAGATGGGACAAAGGAGGCTGTTCTTTCAATGATTCCCAAGGGGGAAGGGAAGGTTTAGGCTTGTTAAGTCCCACTAATATTATTGGAAGTTATTCATGTAAATCTTGACCCACCAAGAGAGGAATACAGGCTTCTCTACTGCAGGACTATTTTTTTTCTTTCCATGTGGTTAAGGCTCATGAAAGTGGCTGCCATACTTTCCAGTGAGAAGCAATTGGAGACCAGAAAGTTCTTTCCAGTCAAACTAGGCTGATCTAATGCCACAGTGCGTCTGAGGCAGGGAGCCCATCCCACGGGAAGGGAAATTTGCCTGGTGCCCCGTGCATCCCAAGGACCATCTTTTTTAGTTCTGGTCTTCTGTTTGTTTACAGGAGTTAGAGAATTGGAAGGAGTTCTTGTGTCTGTAATGCTTACAGCCTCTAAAACTCACATGTTCAGCTTTAGAGACTGAAAAGTCTTAATATCCAACGAGGAATCATTTATTTCCTGAAGAGGTATGGCAGAACCAAGCACCACAGAGAAAAAGGAAAGAGCATCCTCTTCCAGGAAACTAAGAGACAGTACACAGATGTTAAAAATCCATCACTAAGAAAATGATGTTTGTGAAATGGTTAAAAAGAAAAAGCTACACTCTTCAGATCATTGCCATTTTCCTTAGGAAAAAATGGATGAATATGGCCTTGATTAATAAAAGTTGTAACTTTATAAGCAGCATTCCTGAGTAATGCTACCACCGTGTAGGAGGAGGAGATTATAATTGTCTGTATTTTAAGTTGATCAGTGGGCCAGGGAGTTTTGAAGAGCTAGCACATCTTGCTTGCCTGGCAGTTCTTGCTGTCTGTCTAGGTCTGCGTTTATGGGCTAAGTTAGACCCCCACCATTTGGCAAATGCAAAGTCCCCTGCCTCGGCCTCATGGCTAGGGCTGAGGAGCAGGGATGAAGGAAACAGAGGAAGGAACAGGAAAAGCCTTGGAACAAAACGGTCCACCATATAGTCTTCTTTGGGCTTATTAACAGAGCAGGAAAGCAAAGACATCTTGCAAAAGTAGACCGAAGAGTGAGACCCAAAATGCTTCCAAATGTCCAAATTCACATATTCCCTTTAATGAAAGACATTCCACTGCCAAGGGGTTGGGAGATGCATGTAGTGCTAGAGAGGTCTTGGTTTTGGAGCCAGAAAACCTAAGTCCAATTTCTAGGGGTTATTCATTTTGGGTAAGCTCCTGAACGACAATATCCTAACTGCACTGCAGGATTATCCATTCCTGGGCTAAGGTTATCTTAAGCATTATTTCATTTCATCTTTGTAACAACCCTATGAAGTAGGTGGTGTTATTATCATTTTATAAATGATGAAGGTATAAGGCGATAAATGAAACTACTTATCTAGTCATACAGCTAGAAAGTAGTAGAAGTAGGAGTCAAACCCAGGCAAGCTGACATCAGAGCACTCACATTCTACCAGACTAAATAACTAAGGTCACATAAAAGTCACCACCATAAAGCCCAGCACAGGAAGATACTCAATAAGAACAGCTAACACCATTCTTCACATTATAATTATACCGATAATATCTATCTAAGGAGTCCTGGTTGTTGTTGTTGTTGTTATGTGCCATGGAGTCGGTTCCAACTCATAGTGCCCTGTATAGGGTTTCCGAGGCTGTAAATCTTTATGGGAGCACAAAGCCTCATCTTTCTTCTGCGGAACAACTGTTAGTTTCCAACTGCTGACCTTGCAGTTCATAGCCTGATTCGTTACCACTACGATACCAGAGCTCCTGGTAGTAGAGGGGGTTAAACATTGGATTGCTAACTGCAAGTCAGGCAGTTTAAACCCCCTAGTTGCTCTGTGATAGATGAGGCAGTCTGCTCCCGGAAAGATAATTCAGTCTCAGAAACCCTATGGAGCAATTCTATTTCTGTCCTATAGGGTTGCGATGAGTCAGAATCAGCTCCATGGCAGTGAATTTGGCTTGGCATAATGTTTAATAAGTTTATATTACCAGTATGTTTTTGATAAACTTGCAATACCTGAGGTAACAGATGCCAACCTATATTTTTAATGCCGTTTGTGGATTTCCATACTAGTCCATGTTGGTCAACACAGAAAACCATCCATAGAGCCTGTAAATGTATTTCTACAACCAAATTCACTTAACAACAACAACAAATTTTTGTTTTGAAATAATTATAGACTCACAGGAAGTTGCAAAAATAATAATAAATTGTAAGGACTAGTAGGCACCATTTGTGAAAGATTGTAAACTCCACAGTACACAGTAAAGGGGAAATGGAGGAAGGGCCTTTTCTGAGCTAGGTTAATAAAACTCTTCGTCAATGTGCCATGCTGTGCATCTGTGCCTGTTACAGGACTGGGTGCCTGATTTTACAAAATCGAATAAAGAAAACCTCACTTTTGCTAAAATGAAAAAAAAATAATAATAATAATAAAGATAGGACAAGTCCCGGGAAACGTTTGCCAGTACACCCTGCAAACACAGAGCTAAATGAAAGCTGGAGTCTCTTGTTCCCTCGTTACAAACCTGAAGCAGAGCAGCATGGGAGTTGAGAAGAACACCAAGCAGAGAGAGACACCTGGAGAGGACTCAGGTTGTTTGCAGTCTCCCTCTAACTCAAGCAGTAAGTGCCCCAGCAGTAGAGATTTTAAATAAACTTTCAACTGGACTCAATTCTTCAAGACCATTACATTCTTAGCAGTCTTGCTGTTTGCCTGTCCTATTCTGAAGATTCCTAATGACAATTTTCCTTGTTAAAAAATATTAACTGCCATGTATGTATTTTCTAATAAGCATGTACCTTTAGTTAGAGAGAAAAATGTCTGTTTTCTTAGAGTTTCTGCAACTGGTAATAGTTTCCAATGACACTGCCCTTGAAGTGTTTCTTAAGTCAGCCTGTTCTGCTCTTAACTAAGAAGAATCATTCCTTCTGCTATTCCTACAACAACCTCCTGTTTCCCTTCTGTCTCACCATGGATGTGGCTGGCTGCCAACTGGGACTTGGAGGGCAGGGATGAGACTAACCTCTGTCTTCAGCTTTGCTGTTCATTTCTTCTTCCTTGTCTTCATCATCACTACTGGAGCTCTCCATTTTTTCCTTCATCTGTTCCAGCTGATCCAAGTTAACACGTCCAACAAGCTCAAAGTTCCGGCTGACCTGAAAAAGGTTCAAAGAAATAATGGAATGATGGATGAGTGATGAACCACACACTGAAAGGCGGACCCTGTGGTGAAGAGACCATTCCAACATCATTTTCCTATGGCTGAGTTTTCTCAATCAGGATCAAAGAACAATGGTGCCTAAGAGGCCCTTTTCGTCAAGGATACTTTTTGAAGTTGCTCTATGCTTTGCGCCCACATTCCACAACATTCACTAGGCCAGTCATGGCCTTTATTTACCAAACTTGTTAAAAAAAACACACACAAAAAAAACCCCCACAAGAAACAATTAGCAGGATTCTCTGGGAGCAAACAGTTGAGTATTCACTCAGCTACTAACCAAAAGGTTGGTGGTTCAAATCCACTCATAGGTGTTTGGAATCAAGGCTTAACAATATACTTTGGAGAAAATAGCTATGGTAAACCTTATGGATCATGGTGCCACCAGCACACAAGGGGGCTCGTCACGAGTTAGAATCATCTCATTGTTAACTGGTTTTACAAGCAACAGGAGGTAAAATGTATCATGAAGCTTGGGGTATACAATAGAGATGTGAGAAACTTTTTTTTTTTTTAGTTAATCCAAAGATATAACTTTCACAAAGTATATAAGCTTCAAACACTTTTGGATGCAAGGGTGTTCTGTGAGTATCTTGGCCACCAGGTGTAGCAATCACAATCTTCTTCCAAACTCTGCTATCAACCTGGAGGGTTGTGTGCTGTCTCAGCATAAGACAGATGACAACTCTTTGATTCCTAACTCTAGCGTCAAGTGGAAGGCATTATTTTTATGGTTAGTGTTACTACTTAACTTTTGAGTCTGACAGGGGACTACTTAAGATTATTTGAGGAAAACTTAGATGAATAACAATCCCAAAACTCTTTACACGTGGTAACTATGGCTGAAGTACCAAGCTGCACTGAGGCATTGGTGAAAAACAAGGCTCCAGGAATCAATGGAATACAAATTGAAATGTTTCAACAAACTGGTGTACTGCTTGTTTATGCCAAGAAACTTAGAAGACAGTTTACCTGGCCAACTGATTGGAAGAGATCTATATTTGTGCCCAATCCAAAGAAAGGTGACCCAATGGAATGCAAAAATCAATCAATATCATTTGTATCACATGCAAGTAAAATTTTGCTGAATATAACTCAAAAATGGTTGCAGCACAAATTCAAGCTGCAACTAAATTCAGGCTAGAATGTGGAACTAGGGCTATCATTGCTGATGTCCGATGGATCTTGGCTAAACACTGAGACCAGAAAGATGTGTGCTTGTGATTTATTGATTATGCAAAGGCATTTGACTATGTGGATCATAACAAGCTAAGTATAACACTGGGAAGAATGGGTATTCCAGAATACTTCTCGTAATCATTAAGAACCTGTACATAGACCAAGAGGCAGTCATTAGAACAGAACAAGGGGATACTGAATGGTTTAAAATCAAGAAAAATGTGTGGCAAGGTTGTACCCTTCCACCATACTTTGTTAATCTTAATGCTGAACAAATAATCTGACAAACTGGATTATATGAAGACTACAGCATCAGAATTGAAGGAAGACCCATCAACAACTTTTGATATGCAGATGAAACAAACTTGCTTTCTGGGAGTGATAAGGACTTAAAATTCTTACTGATAATCAAAGAATACATACAGCCTTCAGTATGGATTGCACCTCAATGTAAAGAAAACAAAAACCCTCATAATTGGGCTAAAAAATAATATTATGATAAATGGAGAAAAAAGACGTTATCAAAGACTTCATTTTGCTTGGATCTACAAGCAACACTCATGGAAACAGCAATCCAGAAATCAAACAACATATTGCATTGGACAAATCTGCTGCACAAGACCTCTTTTAAAGTCTTCAAGACCAAAAATGTCATGTTGAGGACTAAGGTGCATCTGACCTAAGACATGGTATTTTCAATAGCTTCAATGCATGTAAAAGTTGGACAATGAATAAGGAAGACCTTAGAAGAAATCGATGCATTTGAATCATGACTTTGGAGAAGAATGTTTAAAGTACCAAGGAATGCTAGAAGAACAAACAAATCTGTATTAGAAGTTTAGCCACGATGCTCCTTAGAAGCCAGCGAGACTTTGTCTCTCATACTTCGAACATATTATCAGGAAGGATCAGTCCCTGGAGAAGGACATCATGCTTAGTAAAGTGGGAAGTCAGTGAATGAAGAGGAAGACCCCCCTACAAGATGGATTGATACTCTAGTAGCAACAATGAGAGTAAACATAACAACTGTGAGGATGAGGATGGTGCCTGGCTGGGCAGTGTTCCCTTCTGTCATGCCTATGGTTGCTGTGAGCCAAAATCGACTGGCTAGCATCTAACAATAATTGACTGATTTTTATATTTATAAAATGTGGGTAGAAAAATGGAGGCTGCAAGTTTTCTTCAAAATATCACCCAAAGGAAATAAAAATCCATGTCCAGAAAATTTATTAATGCCTTTCTGTTTTGGTTCCTCAAAACAGAAATTTACCTTTTTCATTAATCTGCTTTCAGAACTTCTGTTGTTGCATGCATAGAACTATATGGAATAACAGCACAGGGCTCAAGCCTACGAAATGACTCAAGTCAATAGAGTGATTGACAACTCCTCTGAGTAAGGTTCTGTACTCCCATTGGGGTCCCAGGGAGGGGACATGCAATGATGACTGAAACCTGGTTCTAGTCTCCAGAGGTTCACAGTTTCGTGAGGAGGAAAGAGAGACATCATTAATTAGAATCCAAGGCTGATTTCCATAGCTGCCACAGTAGAGATACACAGTGTAATGAGCACACAAGAGAGGAAAGAGAATTTAGGAGATAAGTCTAAAGCTGGGCCTCCAGTGGAACAAAGATGTGCTGAGCACTACCAATTCCATATGCTTGGCAGATAGGAACATCATCTACTGTGACAAAATGAAAGAAAGAGACTTGAGTATAAAGGCCAACAAGCTTAGTACTCTCCCAGCAACGTCATGTTGAAAATAGGTACCATCTAAAAAGAGGAAGAAAACTCAGGGAAATGGCTTTAAAAAAAAAAAAAAATTAAAAAAAGGAAGGGGAACAGTAGTTTGATCTTTATAATACTGAAATTCATGAAGCCAACTGACACTGAAAACAACTCACCACAAAGGTGGACAAGGGATGAACATTCAGGGGTGAGTCAATTTTTTGTTTTGCTTGTTTAAAAAATGTTCTGAAATCAGTAGACTAAGGGAGTCCTTTTGTAGTGCTGTAGGGTAAGCAATGGACTCATAACCACAGGTTGGCAGTTCAAACCCAGCAGCTTCCCATCGGAAATACCATATAGGATAGCTATGAGTCAGAACTAACTCGAAGACGCTGGACACAGCAACACCATAAGGAGGTAGAGGTTAATACTAGAATCTTTATTTCTCTTTCCTTCTTCAAGAGTTCACAGTAATAGTCTTCAATGGATGTTAACTGTAGCGTCTTTCCAATCAGAAATTTATTTATCATGTCTCCCTCATATAGACCTATGTCAAAGCATGGCTTTTAAGTCGGACAAATCTGAGTTCAAGTTCACATTCTCACTTAACATAAATGTGCTCAATGTCCTTGTTTGTGAATGGGTCAGCATAGTTACTAAAACACAATAAAAAACAAAACACTGGCATTGGTTGTAGCGCATGGCAAACCTGTACAGGGATTTTAAGCATTCACGTCTTTACAGCAGCACACAGCCTTATCTTTCTCTGGTGGAATAACTGGTAGGTAGAAATTGTGGGCCTTGTGGCTAGCTTGTCCAATAGCATCACCAGGTAGTTTCCTCCCTTTCCTGAAAATGTGACATTTCCAACTCTGAATTTGGAAATATGCAACGAGCATTGTAAATGTGTTGATGTTAGGTTTAAATAGAAGTCCACATTTTAACCAAATGGCATTTTATGACAAATACTTAAATTAAAAATTTCTGGCTTTCAAGTTTACCAAGGCAAGAGTACAAAATTCCAATTTGTTTAATTTTGAAATATTTACATGGAAACGCTTGACCACCCTTGCCCACTTGCCATTTTTAGTAACCAGGGCAACTGTGGGTATGTGAAAGAGGCATGAGGGGTGGACAGAGGCCAGGAAACAAAAAAGAATCCTCAAACATCTGCTTTACCAGTAGTTTTTATTCACTCATTCATCCATTCTACAAGGCCTCCCTGAGGGCCTGCTGTGTGCCGGGCCCACATTACTTAATGAGGTCCTGGGCACTCAAGGAACTCTGAGAGACAGGAGATCTGTCATCAAACAAACTGTTGATCTTTCTGTTTGCTTCCTTCTGAATTGTGGGGGTTAAGAATTTGTTATTTTCTCATGACCCCCCTTCACTGGAAAACTTAACATAATTTTGGATTCTGTACATCTTTAGAAGAGTACATGACATTATTATGATTTGATGATCATACAGAGCTATCCCAGAACTGATTTCTAAAACCTTTACTACAGAGATAATTTTGAACTAAATACTACTTGCAGTGTTAAATTAGTACTCTAAGTGAAATCAACCAAACCAGTAACTCAATAGTATTCCTGATACAAACATAGGCTCTTTCTGGACTTCTTGATTCATCATCGTCTCTTGTCTGGGTTAAGGCAACACTGCCTCTCCCTTTGTGGCCTCTCAGCATCTACCCTTGATCCCTTCTTTTATCTATACTCCGGTATGGTGAGAGAAAAAAGAAAAAAAACCAAAAACTTTATTTTTTAGAGCAGTTTTGTTGTCAGGTTGTTGTTGTCAGGTGCCATCGAGTCAGAACCGACTCATAGCAACCCCATGCACAGCAGAACGAAACAATGTTCGATCCTGGGCCAACCTCACTACCGCTGCCACACTTGAGTCCATCAATGATGCCACCTGGCTGATCCATCTCGTTGGGGGTCTTCCTCTTTTTCTCTGACCCTCCACCCTACCCAGCATGACAGCCTTCTCCAACGATTGTTTCCTCCGGACAATATGTCCAAAGTAGGAGA